AGCCCCCTTTTGAATGCTTTTTTTTTTTCTTTTTTTTTTCCAAATGATGTTTAACAGAGCAAGGAAATTTTCACAGTATGTCTGATAATATTTTTTCCTCTGGAGAAAGTCTTATTTGTTTGATTTCGGCTAGAACAAAAGCACTTTTTAATTTTGAAAAAACATTTCAAGGTCAATGTTATCATGTTGTTAGCCCCTTTAAGGTAGATTTTTTTCGGTATAGTCAACAGAACAAACCATCATTATACAATAACTTGCCTAATTACCTTTACTTGTCTAGTTAACCTAATTGACCTTGTTTAGCATTTAAATGTCACTTTAAGCTGTATAGAAGTGTTTTAAAAAAGATCTATAACATTATTTACAGTAACGGATTTCTTTTATTAAAATAAAAGAAATCCGTTATTAGAAATAAGTTATTAAAACTATTCTGTTTAGAAATGTGTTGAAAAAATCTCATTTAAATAGAAATTGGGGGGAAATAAAGAGGAGGCTAGTAATTCAGGGGGGCTAATAGTTCTGACTTCAACTGTATTTAAGAAATCTTTGTTTCTTCTTTTGATTTTCCACAGTTGACTTATTGTAGTTTACTGTAGCCTTTAAATGGCATTTTAAGCTGAATTTATTATCTTGAAAACTACAGTAACTAGTAAAATAGCATGTACTGTACATGTATGATATTAATTTAAATATAAATCTTTTTTATTAAAACTATTATGTGTAAAAAATGTGAAAAAAAAAATCTTCCATGTAATCCATTAAACAAGAAAATATTTTAACAAAAAATTTTTTTAGTAATAATTATAATAAAAAGTTTTACAGGTAGGCTAATACTTTTGCCTTCAATTGTGTTCATGTTAACAAAACAGCATAAAAACAACACATTACTATGAAAAAAACATATTTTCATATAAAAGCACACCCACACACGTTTTAATAAAGACTTCATCAATAGACCTCTATCTATTTTTAATCAATATATCTACACTTACCGGCCACTTTATAGTCAGCATCAATACTCAGGTAGGCTGTTGTGTTGACATGATGCTCAACTGGTACTAATGGTCTCAGTGTGCCAAGAAAATATCCCCACACTATGATATCACCAGCCTGAACCACTGATACAAGGCAGGATGGATCCATACTTTCATGTTGTTGATGCCAAATTCAGACCCTACCATCTAAATGTTGCAGCAGAAATCGAGACTCATCAGACCAGGCAACGTTTTTCCAATCCTCTATTTTTCAGGTTTGGTGAGTCTGTGCGAATTGTAGCCTTAGTTTCTTGTTAATAGCTTACAGGAGTGGCACCCGGTGTGGTCTTCTGCTGCTGTAGCCCATCTGCCTCAAGGTTTGACGTATTGTGAGTTCAGAGATGCTCTTCTGCACACCCTAGTTGTAACGAGTGGTTATTTGAGTTACTGTTGCTTTTCTATCAGCTGGAACCAGTCTGGCCATTCTCCTCTGACCTCTAGCATCAAGGCATTTGTGCCACAGAACTGCCGCTCACGAAATATTCTCTTTTTTAAACCAATTTCTGTAAACCCTGGAGATGGTTGTGCTTGAAAATTCCAGTAGATCAGCAGTTTCTGAAATACTCAGACCAGCCCGTCTGGCATTAACAACCATGCCACGTACAAAGTCATTCTTTCTTCCCCATTCTGATGCTCGGTCTGATCTGCAGGAGATCATCTTGACCATGTCTACATACCTAAATGCATTGAGTTGCTGCCATGTGATTGGCTGATGAGAAATTTGCGTTACCGAGCAGTTGGACAGATGTACCTAATAAAGTGGCCGGTGAGTGTATATCTCTGTATCTCTTCTGGTCAAATATTACAACATAAAGATAGTCTTTGAGTCAGACAGTGAGACTGCACAAATCTAAATTCAAATCAGATTTGGTCTAAAATTGGTATTCAGGGGCTTTTGTTTTGATGATTCATGACACTTTCTGAATCAGATAAAGTCAGGCATGAGATCAACAGAAACAGAAGCAATTAAAAGGGAGTCTTTATAAAAATAGTCCTGCATTGACAGATCTCTGACCACGCAAGCTGACGAGGAGGAAGAGAAACGGAAAACATGTTAAAGATTTTGTCAACATCTATTACAGGAGAGTGAGCAGTCAGAGGATATACAGAGCTTTATCCATACTGAATGAATGTGGATTTCTTTCTTTTCCACAGCACTCACCACAGTTGCTGGGCTTTTAGCAAACATCCAACTGCCAAAGGAAATTACAGATAAAACTGTCTGAAAATGCGCCAAACCAACCAAAACCCACAGAGTCCATGAAAAACATGATGAAGCAAAAACACAACGATAATTTCTCTGTTTGCACTTAAACATTTTTAAACAGTCTGCCATGTTGGGAGTCATTAATGTTTGTGGTACAACTCGAAGAAGTTCTATTTTCACACTTATTTCTACTACCTTCAACACTTTTTATATGGTTTATGAACTGTACGTTTTTTAAGAGAATCAGCAATGACACACATGTATTTTAAAGCTATAATTTGACACTTGCATAGTGAATGTGCATTCTTTTTTGCTTGTGAGTTTTATGTATGACAAAGAAGCAAATAACATAGAGGTGAAAAGAAAACATTATGTTCAATAACATCACATGGCCGTGGACTTCAGCATCTGACCACTGCAGAACGCCCAGGTTTTATGGTCCATGGCTAAGCTCTGTTGGAAATCTCCTGTCAAGGGAGAGCTGAGCTCTGTAAAAGTGCCCACTGAACCAAGCTGATCTTCTCTCTACTTTAGTCCTGAAAACCTCTGTGACCAAAACCACAGCTGAATGTTTGCTTGTACATGTTTATATGAGACGGAAGAATTAACTAGGACACAGGACAAAACTGCCACAAATGTTGAAGATATGGTATAATTATCTCATGAAAATTGCGATATTTTAAAAATGTGAAATTAACATAAACCACACTGAAAAAAATCTTTAAATAAAATAAGCATATTTTATCATTTAAAATGTATATATTAAATTGGCAAAACTATAAATTATATAACTAGACCAATATGGAGTTAATCTAACAAAATAACTTATGATAACAATCCAAAAATTACTGCACCCAAATTTATATGTTACAGGAAAATATTAAATACTATTATTTTAAAAGAGGAATTTTCAAGAAAAACAAAAATATCCTAAATTTAGTTGAAATTTTGTAGGTCTTTTTTTTTTGTAATGAATTATATTTTTATTTTGGGTGTTACTGTGGCGCAGTGGGTAGCACAATCGCCTCAAGCAGGTTGCTGGTTTGAGTTTGCCAAAGACATGTGGTATAGGGGAATTGGATAAGCTAAATTGTCCGTCGTGAATGTGCGTGGATGAGTGTATGGGTGTTTTCCATTGATGGATTGCAGCTGGAAGGGCATCTGCTGTGTAAAACATATGCTACCTGGTTTGGTGAATAAAATTCGTTTTTAATAAATATATCTGTTTAACAAAACTGTTTTGTTCAAATGCACCGACAATATATATATATATATATATATACACATACAGTATATACAAATTAATTTCCCAGAGATGGGTTGCGGCTGGAAGGGCATCCGCTGCGTAAAAACTTGCTGGATACGTTGTAAGTAATGAATATACAAATTAAATCAAAACTCACTTTAAATTTTTTTTTTCTTTTTTAAATATTTCCCGAATGATGTTTAACAGAGCAAGGAAATTTTCACAGTACGTCTGTTATTATTTTTCTTCTGGAAAAGTCTTATTTGTTTTATTTCAACTAGAATAAATTTTTTTTAAAATACATATCAAAAAAAAAAAACATTTCAAGGTCAATATTATTAACCCCTTTAAAGTATATATTTTTTCGATAGTCTGCAGAACAAACTATTATGTTTAGAAATGTGTTGAAAAAAAATCTTCTCTCCGTTAAACAGAAATTGGGGAAAAAATAAACTGGGAGGCTAGTAATTCAGGGGGGCTAATAATTCTGACTTCAACTATATATATATATATATATATATATATATATATATATATATATATATATATATATATATATATATATATATAGTCGGTGGGTTGCTGGTTGAACCTCGGCTCAGTTGGTGTTTCTGTGTGGAGTTTGCATGTTCTCCCTGCCTTTGCGTGGGTTTCCTCCGGGTGCTCCGGTTTCCCCCACAGTCCAAAGAAATGCTGTACAGGTGAATTGGGTAGGCTAAACTGTCCGTAGTGTATGAGAGTTTGTGTGAATGTGTGTGTGGATGTTTCCCAGAGATGGGTTGCGGCTGGAAGGGCATCCGCTGCGTAAAAACTTGCAGGATAAGTGGGCGGTTCATAACACTGTGGCGTCCCCAGATTAATAAAGGGACTAAGCCGACAAGAAAATGAATGAATGAATGAATATATATATATATATATATATATATATATATATATATATATATATATATATATATATATATATATATATATATATAGTAAAATGCAAGTGAAATAGGCACTTTAAGAGTAAAAAAAACATATACAGATAAATTAAAACGAATGCCCATTTTTCTTGACATTTTGTTAAGTCTTAAGTCTTATGAAGATAAATGACTGATCTGCACAAGAAACTGAAAATTATAGCCTCTCTCTCTCTCTCTCTCTCTCTCTCTCTCTCTCTCTCTTTCTCTCTGTCTGTCTATATATATATATATATATATATATATATATATATATATATATATTTATATATATGAGGAGGAGTTTTTGTAGTGTTAAATGTGCTACAATTCCACAACTGACTTCCTTTTCAGAAGTAAATTTAAATGCCATTACCTCATGCGCTATTGGCCATCAGGCTATTCTGGCCGGCTGTTTTGGATATGTAATGCACTATTAGTCATGTACAAGGATTTACAGTTCAAACAGTTCACGTTTTGGGTGGGACTTGTAAGAAACTTTTAAAGAGAACCATCAAAAACACTCCGGCAGATCCTTATTGGACGGGCAAACTGTCAGTCGCACACCATGGGCGTGGTCTGGGAGCGATCGTTCACAATGTAATAGAGTTTTAGCGCAGTCTTGCTTTTTCAAAGGCGTGTGTCAACTCTGTGTGCCAAGGGCTGCTCCGCTTTTACCAATGCGATTAATGAAGACAACGAACCAATTGAGGGAACACTAAACTAATAACCTTCCGTTTCGTTTCGTCTGTTGTTTTTAATACGGACGAGCTTCGTCTCTGCAAGGAATCAACCCTCTGCACGAGCACAAAGGAAAATTTAAAAGGCAAGCAAAGGTAAATGAGCTGGGCTTTCTCCTTTGTTAGAAGTTTTTCCTCGTCCCTGTTTTATATGATGTGAACTCTGACCGTGGCAGTGAGGGAAGTTTGTGCAGGATTGAGACACGTTGCGATCATATTTCGCACAGTTTAGGGGGAAATAAGCAGGTATCGTTTCAGGTCGGTAATATTGCAGTCAGTGCCGACTTGAAGGCAGCCTTTATTGCTATAGACAGCGCGGATATGATCTGATTTAATGCTTGTATTTTTATAGTTTTGCCCGTTTTATGTGTGGCACATGTAGGTCTTCACAACACATGTAAATCTCAAAAACCACTAGGTTGTCCACTTACAATTTTTCCAATGCTGTGACACAGTTGTTTACAGCAGAACACATGTATTGGTCATGTCGATGAGGAACACATGATGACATGAGAAGCATTTCGTTTTCCAGTTTAACCTGTATTGGTTAGACTCGTTTTTGCACGCGAAACACTTATTTTGTCTGCGGTTTCAAGCTCTGCACGAAAGCGTCCAGTTGTTTGTATATCACTCGCAGCGCCCAGACAGCTGGACGCTGGAATAGAAGGAAGGAGACGTGTCCTGGTCCAGAAGGATGGACATGCTGGTTTTGGGCTGCTGATAGGGGTTTTTAGGGGAGTTTGGCCTGAGGCACAGAGCTGAGAGTGCAGTATTCATTCAGCGTGTTGCGCACCTTTGCCAGCTGTGTGGCGGCGAATTAATTACGCTTACGAATGTCTGCTGCAGAAATGAAATGCTCAGTTATACAAAATCAATAATTTTGCCATATCCAAACATATTTCATGTCATGAAATATTGCAGTTTCTCTAGTGTTATTGTTGTGACGATGCAAGATTACTCTTCACAGCAGAATCTGCTACTGAACACATTCATGCCAATTTTAAAAGTCCAAATCGAATGCTTAATCCTTTTAAAAGCTATAGTTTTTGCTATTTTAGTTAGGTAAACACTGCGTAAGACAAGTGAATGGTAATAAAATAACAAAGAAAGGTATAGGAACAAAGAGTGCCTGTTTTTCAGTATCTAACTCTAAACTTTACCCTGATCCAGATGAGAGCAATGAGGGAGTGATTTTCTATTTTCTTGTGAATATTGTTTGAGTATTAATGACATAAATAGACTGCCAGTGGTTTAGGCTGCATTTGCACCGCAGGACCTAGTAGACAGATCTGTTTTGACATAATATTTTGTTAGTCCTGTCTGTTTACATTCACTTCAGACAAAGCTGGCTGTGTTCAATATCATGCCAAGTCCTGCATTTCGACGGAGACGTGCGTTTGACCGCGCTCACAGGGCACGCGCACAAATAATAATGGGCTTTTAATAAACAGTTTTTCTGGTCATCGTGACATCCTTTGTTGTTATTGTGGTATGGTCGGGAATTATGGTCTCTTATTATGTTTAAAGTTTGGCTTTAGTAAAAATAATAGCTGAAAAAAATTCTAATAGAACTGTCACAGCACAGCAATATCATTTGATTTGCCTTTGCCATAATGATTTTCAGGTTTGTTTTATCTGTTATGTGGGCTATACCTTTTATTATCAAATAAAACGCACATCATGCCGTCCATTTATGTCCATTAAGTGAACCAATCAATAGAAATAAATCCTCATTCCAAACAGTTAGTCTGTCGCCCATCAAATTAGTATCAAATACGAGAGCATCTGTAGTATCGCACAGGATATTATAACAGCAGTGCTATAGAGAACATTGATGCTTCCTTTGTTTTAGATCATATCACTGTGGGGTATTGTGCCCCCACATTTTAAATAATCTGTTGCATTTTTGTAACTTCTAATGGTGTTTTTGCCCCCAAGCACCGGTTAATGTTTGACCCTGCTTTGGATTCCTTAAATGCTTTTGTCCGTGATAAAATTCAACCGTAAGCAAGACTAAGAGTAGCTTGGAGGTTCATCCCTCCGGGTTCAGGAGGTAGCTATCTGGCATCTACCCCGAGGTTGTCTCGAAAATGTTATTGAATAATGAATAGCTCACTGAGCTATCATTAGACATTTTCCTGTGCTTTTTTTGTTGTTTCTTTTTGAATACGTTTGATAGCTGCTATTTAATAAGTAGGCTTGATTCATGGTTGCGATTATAAGTGCTCTTAAAGTATTCAACCAATAATTCTGTAGTGGCCCAAGTAGAATTTTAATGGGTTCCAGTATTATGAATACAGTAAAAGAGTGTGATGTTTTCTGCTTTAATTGCTTTTTTCTCTGTTTTACTTCACTGATTGTAAGCGTGTTAGATGATTATGGATTACTATTACCCTTGAATGTACTGTGCTGACTTTGAGATCAGCAATTTTGTGTCTGCTCTTTTTCCTTTTATTTAAAGATAAAGTTCACTCAACATGAAAATTCTTCATTGTTTACTTATTACAAGCCTGGATTACATTCTCCTAAAAAATGTGATTTATTTTTTATTTTTTTGGTCGAGTTTGAGGTTCAAACAACAATAGAAAAACATAGGGAGAAAAAAATATTTTGTGTCGCACAGAATTTTCATTCTGGTTGAACTATCCTTTTAAGTTGTCTATGCAAATTGGGATTTTTTATATGGCAGGAGTACATGAAACATGAAATTGCTGGAAGCTACATTTCACTCGTCGATTGCTTTGCCTATTTTACAGAGAATAGTTCTCAGTACCTTAAATGTCATATTGAAGCAAAACAATCTTGCAGCCGGATTCGTTTTGAATGAACACAGGTACAGACATCTCTAGTCCCTGTTTTGGTTAAAAGCCTGGTTTAAACCCTAATAGTGCTCTATAATCATTACCCCGATCACAGAGAAGGAGATCTTTGATATAGTCAGACATATATGGTACAAAGGACGCATTTTCCTTTTAAATTTACCACTGCTTTTGTTTCAGCCCATCATGGCTGCCTCTTGGTAGGGTAATGATGCATATAGCCTGGGTGTAATTTTATTTCCAATTTCCATTGCTGTAGTTTTGCCCCAAATGATGTTACGCTTGCCGTGCACCGTGGATGGCTGTGCGCTCCTAATGGCTCTTAGGGTAATGAGAGCTAAAATAGCCCTGGTGCTACGATTGGATCAAAGCCATCATCTACCGTTGTTGTTTTTTTCTCAATATTTCATCAGACGGGGGCAATGTACTTTTGAGACTTGTTACCCTGCTTTAGTTATTCATAGCCGTTTTTATGATGGATTGAATCTCTAGAATAGAACAAATGCGAGTCAATTCATTCTCTACATTTAAATTTGAACTAAACAACCACCGTGTACCTGTTCTGGACCGGCTGTGAGACACAATGGATCACTTTCAATTAGTTACTCTAGGGAGTTCACTCCACACTATAATGGCCCCTCATATTTCATGTTGATTGTTGTAACCCGTAGCAACAGGGTAGCCAATAACTGGAAGATGCACCTGGAGAGGAGGTTTATGGGGCTGTTGGGGTGCAGTGGAATGAGAGCTGTTGTTCCTGCCTGGCTGCCTAAGTCCAGCGAGGGGTCTCGTACCCCTGGGGAGTGAATTATTACCTGTCAGACCTAGGGCCTCAGCATCATCCATTACACAGCCCTCTTGCGGGGGTAGTCAGCCTCAGCATGGCAGCGCGATCAGTGGGCCTTGGCCTTCAAACCTGGCCACTTCTCTCTGGGTGGGTGCAACTTGTGGCATTTCAGCAATCAAGAACATCTCTGGAAGTTGGGAGTCCTTGTGTGTGTGTGTGTGTGTGTGTGTGTGTGTACACATATATAGATACATTTATGTACATTTACACTGTGTATATAATGAATATGGTAATACTTAACAGCAGTACAATTTTACGATTCTTGCTGAGAGGTTGTGGTATCTTATAATCTGCTGTATTGGATGGCATAGTTTTGCTAAACTCTGTTATCAAGTTGTTGGTGCTCAGTGATGCTAATTTGTCACACACTCACACTTAATTCTGCTGAAATCTGCAGCCGAGTCCACGTTCCAGTCCTATTCACTCTTTAGTCTGAGGCAGACTGTGAAGCCTTCATGATATTTTTAATGGGATGGTCAGATGGGGACAGTGAAAATCTTCTTGTTGCACAACAGAAAGGTTGAAGCATGGTTCAGTGATTGATTAACTTCTGTTAGCAATTCATTTTTAGATGTTAATAAAACAGGTTTTACAAGTTCCCCTTCTCCAACAAATGTCCATAACATGCCATTGTTATGGAATCAATATGTTGTACTGAATACTGATAAGAAATTATATGGCCAATGTGCAGGAAAAAACATCGTAAATGAACTATTTTGCAGCCAAAATATCTTTGTAGAAACAACAAATAAAGCCTAAAAGTATTGGATGTTTATTTCCACACCATTTTCCCTGCATTTAAATGTGCACATATTTTTTAATTTAGCATTTTTACTGTTTTGTACTGTTTAAACTTCATATCACACATGCATGGTAATATGAAAATGAAAACTTTTTATTCAGGATGTGGTTAAGCATAGTAAAACTAGGATTGTAATGAATCACAGTTGATCCATCTGGACTCGCATTAATTGCACATTTCAACCAGCATTTTGCATTGTCATGAAAGTTGCAGGCGTTTAAAAGCGTTTACATGACAAAAGGTGAAGGAGAGATCTGGTACTCACAAACATTTCTTTGCATGTGCACACACATAATTAAGTAAAAAATTAAATCTACTTTGGCTTGGACAAACAAATAGACACACAATAACATTTTAATTTAACATTAAGGGTTGAGAATGAAAATGGATCTGTGTCAGTATATTTGATTTATTTTGTTTGGGTCTTTGCTCATCTGCACTACTTTTACTAGATTGAGTTGTTCTTGCTGATGTGAAAAATTATCCAGTTTTTGTGAAATCAGTGTATCATGACCTTTTCGATCGACCGCACCTCTAAAAACTAGCCATTGTAAGCTTAATAAAGAGTGATCTCACTAGGAAACATTACTATTTTATGTATTGTCAGAAAAGTAGTTAATTCGTACAA